GAGGACCTCACTTGTACAATAAATAAATAAATAAATAAATAAATAAATAAATAAATAAATAAATAAATAAATAAAATTAGTGGGGTATGGTAACATGCACCTGTAGTTCCAGCTACTTGAAGGCTGAGGTAGAAGGATCTCCTGAATCCAGCAGGTTGGCACTCTGGTGGCTGTGAGCATGCCACTGCATTCCAACCTGGGCGATGGAGACTCCAACTCAAAAAAAAAAAAAAGAAATGAGCCTTCTTGTTTGAGATGAGTGTAAATTTAAATATTGTTTTGTCCTTTTAAAAAACATATCATTTAAAAAAATTAATTAACTTATTAATTAGTTTTTTCTGAGATGAGGCCTTGTTCTGTCATCCAGGCTGGAGTGCAGAGGCACAATCATAGCTCACTGTAACCTTGACTACCTGAACTCAAGCAATCCTCCAGCCTCTCAAGTAGCTGGAACATCAGGTGCACTCCACCACACCTAACTAATTTAAAAATTGTTTGTAGTGACGTAATCTTGTTATATTTCCCAGACTAGTTTCAAACTCCTGGGCTCAAGCTATCCTCCTGTCTTGGCCTCCCAAAATGCTGGGATTACAGGCATGAGCCACCACACCCAGCCAAAAATATATCATTTAACCTTTGTTCTTACTAATTACATAATTCATATTCATTGAAGAAAACTAAAAATACACAAAACCAAAACAAGTCACCTGAAATCCCACTAGGCAGAGATAAGGATTTTTAATAGTTTGGCATATCTCCTCTATACTTCAGCTCTAACAGCAGGAGACTGGTTGAGAGAAGCTAATGAATTCTATGAAACTATAAAATGTACTGTTATATGTGTGAGTATAAATACATTATTCTCTTTCTGAAGGGGTATATCAAAGATATCTAATGAAGCAACTTTATAGCACAAAATGAAACATTCACACACACAAATAATTATAAAAACATACTCATTGATAAGGAAAAACAGAACATACTGAGTAGGTTATAAAATGGTGTGTTCATCTTTTCACTGAAAAATATGCACATAGGCCGGGCATGGTGGCTCACACCTATAATCCCAGCATTTTGGGAGGCTGAGGTGAGAGAATTGCCTGAGCCCACAGGTTCAAGACCCGCCTGGGCAACTTGTCTACAATAAATCAAAAAACCAAAAAATTAGCTGGGTGTGGTAGTGTGTGCCTGTAGTTCCGGCTACTTTGAAGACTGAGGCGGAAGGATCGGTGGAGCCCAACAGGTAGAGGTTGTGGTGGCCAGGAGTGTGCCACTGCACTCCAGCCTGGGTGAGAGAGTGAGACTCCAACTCAAAAAGAAACAACAAAAAAAGAAAAATATGCACGTAGAAGTTGAATTAGAGCCGGGCTCAGGGGCTCAGCCTGTAATCCCAGCACTTTGGGAGGCTGAGGTGAGTGGATTGCCTGAGCCCGCGGGTTCGAGACCCACCTGGGCAACTTGGTGAGACCTCATCTCTACAATAAATCAAAAAACTAGCTAGGCATGGTAGTACGCGCCTGTAGTTTCAGCTACTTGGAAGTCTGAGGCGGAAGGATCGCGGAGCCCAACAGGTCGAGGCTGCGGTGGCCGGGAGTGGCCACTGCACTCCAGTCTGGGTGACAGAGTGAGACTTCAACTCAAAAAAAAAAAGAAGTTGAATTAAATATTAGGAAGCAAAATTCAGCACCTCATTAAGGAAATCATAAGACATGACCAAGTGAGATTTATTCCAGAAATGCAAAGTTGGTTCATATTATAAAATCCATTAATATAAAATGCTATATTAATAGATCCAAGGAAAAAATATATATAATTATCTCCATAGATGCTGAAAAATACCTTAGAAAAAATGTAACACCCATTCTTTTTTTTTTAATCCGTTTCTCTCTCTGTTGTCCAGGCTGGATGCAGTGGCATGATCACGGTTCACTGCAGCCTTGACCCTTCAGCCTCAGTCTCCCATGTAGCTGGGACTACAGGCAAATGCCAACATTCCTGGCTAATTCTTTTTTTTAGATATGAGTTCTAGCTATGTTGCTTAGGCTGGTCTTGACCTCCTGGGCTCAAGCCATCCTCCTGCCTTGGCCTCCCAAAGTGCTGAGATTACAGGGGTGAGCCACCATGTCTGGTCTCCATTCTAGATAAAAAGCACTGAAGAATATGAGAACTGATGGACACTTTCTTAAAATGATGAAATATAGATATTTTTAAATACATTTAAAGACAGCATCTTATTAGGAAAGCACTATTGTCTTTTCTACTAAGATCAGAAACAGAGTAAGGATACCTACTATCTCTACTACTATTTAATATTGTACTGGAGTTATTAGTCAATGCCTTTAGATAAGAGAAGTCAAGTTAGAGGCACTAAAGAAAATGTACCACTATCTCTATTTGCAAATGACCTGGAAAACCCTAGAGAAACAATGATAAAATTAACTCAAACAATAAAATAATTCAGTATGGTAGCAAGATATAAGAAACATGAAAAAATAAGACAGTTTTCATACACACAGTATCCAGTTAGAGCACATAGTGGTAGAAGAAAAACCCCATTTGCAATAGCAACAAAGAAGATTAAATACCTTGGAAAAAACAATAAATTTAATGCAAGTTCATATATAATTATAAGGAAATATTGATGACTCATCAAAAAGCCAGAGCTAACAGACACAGATGTGAGAATGGAACTTTTAAAATAAAAATGTGGCCGGGCGTCATGGCTCAAGCCTGTAGTCCCAGCACCTTGGGAGGCCAAGGTGAGAGGATTGCCTGAGCTCACGGGTTTGAAACCAGCTTGGGCAAATTGGTGAGACCTCATCTCTACAATAAATAAATTTTAAAAAGCCGTAAGTGGTAGCACAGGCCTGTAGTCCAGCTACTTGGAAGGCTGAGGCGGAAGGACACCTGCGCCCAGAAGTTCGAGGCTGCGGTGGCCATGAGCAAGCCACTGCACTCCAGCCTGGGTGACAGAGTGAGACTCCAGCTCAAAAAAAATAAAATAAAAATGTGCTGAACTAAAGAGTTTGAAAATTAAATTTGCTCTTTCCGCCATCTTGGGACACGTGGAGGCCTGCTGGGAACAGGACTTCTAAGAGGCAAATATGTCTGGAAAGCCATTTTTGCTGGCTTATAAGTGAGGTCTCTGGAACCAAAGGGAGCACACAGTTCTTTTCAAAACTGAAGGGGTTTATGCCCGAGATGAAACTGAATTCTTTTGGGCAAGAGATGTGCTTATGTATATAAAGAACAACACAGTGACTCCTGGCGGCAAACCAAACAAAACCAGAGTAATTTGGGGAAAAATAGCTCAGGCCCATGGAAACAGTGACATGGTTCATGCCAAATTCCGAAGCAACCTTCTTGCTAAGGCCATTGGACACCGAATTCGTGTAATGCTGTACCCCTCAAGGATTTAAACTAATGGAAAGTAAATAAATAAAAGTAAAAAAAAAATTTGATTTTCAAAATAGGCACTACTTATAATTACTATTCAATATTCTTGTGTTATAAGATTCTTGAATGATATGTAAGTTACTAAAAATATGAATGAGAGCCGGGCTCGGTGGCTCAGCCTGTAATCCCGTGCTTTGGGAGGCTGATATGAGTGGATTGCCTGAGCCCATGGGTTCGAGACCCGCCTGGGCAACTTGGCGAGACCTCATCTCTACAATAAATCAAAAATTAGCCGGTGTGGTAGCGCATGCCTGTAGTTCCAGCTACTTGGAAGGCTGAGGCAGAAGGATCGCCGGAGCCCAGCAGGTCGAGGCTGCGGTGGCCGGAAGTGGGCCACTGCATTCCAGTCTGGGCGACAGAGTGAGACTCCAACTCAAAAAAAAAAAAAAAAGATATGAATGAAAAAGAAAACAAATGATATATATAAATCAAATTATACTATTATATATTTTTCAATAGAAATTTTGTTCATCTCTGATCAATTTAGATAAGCTGTTATTTAACATAAGCAATGTGATTTAAGTGAAGTGAACTTGTAGTAGGCCCTAAATTGTTGGGGAATTTAAGAGAGATGTATAAATATCAGATTGAATTTCTCCTTTGAACAAAGGTATTTTAAAATGTTAAACAGATATAAGGGGATGGAGTTAGCAAAGGGTAAGAAGAAATGGGATGGGGTTTGGGAGACCAAAAAAATGTATCTTTTTTCCTCTAAATGCATCATTCTTTTTTAAAAAAACATCTTTATTCAGATATAACTCACAACTGAAATTTTTTCAGATAGTCACAGATTTGTGTAGCAATCACTTGCACCCAATTTTAGAATGTATAATCATCCGCAAAGAAAAACCTCATACCCATTAGCTGTCACTTCTCATTTCCTCCCAAGCCCCCACCTCAGCCCTAGGAAACTCCTAATCTTCTTTCTGTCTCTATGGATTTGCCTATACTTGGACATTTCATGTATGTGAAATCATACAACTTGTGGCCATCTGTGCCTGCATGGTTGTCTATGTTATAGTATGTATCAGTGCTTCATTTCTTTTTAGTGCTGAATAATATTTCTTTGTATGGACAGGCCACATTTTATTTATCCATTCCTCATTTGATGGATCTTTTTTTTTTTTGAGTAGGAGTCTCACTCTGTTGCCCAGACTGGAGTACAGTGGCACGATCATGGTCGCCACAGCCTCAACCAGCTGGGTTAAGGTGATCCTTCTGCCTCAGCCTTCCAGGTAGCTGGAACCATAGGCACACGCCACCATGCCCAGCTAATTTTTTGATTATTGTCTCTGCAAGTTGCCCAGGCTGCTCTTGAACCCCCTGAACTCAGGCAATCCTCTCACTTCCACCTCCCAAAGTGCTGGAATTACAGTCATGAACCACCGTGCCTAGCCTTGATGGAGATTTTAATAGTTTCACTTTTTGACTCTTGTGAATAATGTGTTGTGAACATGCATGTGCAGGTTTTTGTGTGGAAGTATGTTTTAGTTTATCTAGGGTATATAGTGTATACCTAGAAGTGCAATTACTGAGTCATATAGTAACTCCATGTTTAGGATTTTGAAAAACTGCCGACTGTTTTCTAGGGCAACTGCATCATTTTACATTCTCATCAACAGTGCATAAGGGTTCTGATTTCTATTGTTTGTGTCTTTTGAATTATAACCATCGGAGTGGGTGTAAAGTAATGTCTCATTGTGGAATTGATTTTCATTTCTCTAATGACTAGAGATGCTGAGTATCTTTTCGTATGCTTGCTGGTTATTTGCGTATCTTCTTTGAGAAATGTCAGTGTAGATAACCCAAGTGAAGTCCATTTTTCACTTGGTTTGTTTTTGACGATTCTGTATACTAGTCCTTTATCGGATATCCTTTGAAGCACAAGTTTTTAATTTTTTTAGTTGGAATCTCACTCTTGTAGCACAGGCTGGAGTATAGTGGCACACTCACGGCCACCGCAGCCTCAACCTGCAGGGCTCAGGCAATCCTTCCACCTCAGCCTTCCAAGTAGCCGGAACTACAGACGCATGCCACCATACTCAGCTAATTTTTGTGATTTATTGTAGAGATAAGATTTCACCAAGTTGCCCAGGCTGGTCTCAAATCCCCAGGATCAGGCAGTCTCTCACCTCAGCCTCCCAAAGTGCTGGGATTGCAGGCTGAGCCACTGTGCCTGGCCAAGTTTTTAGTTTTGATAGAGACTAACTTACCTGTTTTTCTTCATTGTTTATGAATTGGTGCATCATTCTTTTTTTTTTTTAATTATAAAAGAATATGTACTAAAGGGCAGAATACCTGTATTTTTTATTGTCTTGGGGTATACATGTAAAGTTCTGAACCCCAAGTTCTGCTATGACAGTAGTTGTTGAGCAAAACCCAAGTTTAATAATCTCTTCTTGAATAGAAGACAGACAAGCTATGGAGTTATACCTGGGATGGTACCTTTGTTAGAGGAAACATGATATGTAAAAATCTACATTAAAAATTGTAGGCATATTACTTAGAATTATCTTCAACTATGAGTCAGAAAATACAAAAATAAAATAATAGTGGTTGGCTTGGCTGTTCCATGATCGTCAAAGCACTGGGTGTTTTCCATCTTGTTCTTCGGCAATCTCTAATAAGTGACTACTTCAGAGTCCACGTGAATTGTTCATAACAGCACATTTCATAATAGTCACAGAGTGAGAAGCCAAATGTCATTAACTCATGAATGGGTAAGCAAAATGTGGTTTATCCATGCAACTGAATATTATTCAACCACAAAAAGAAATGAGATGCTGATACATGCCACATCGTGGATGAACTTGAAAACCTTATGCTAACAGAAAGAAAGCAGACACAAAAAGCCATATATTATATGATTCCCCTTATGTGAAATACACAGAATGGAAAAATCCTTGGAGACAGAATGTAGATTAGTGGTTGCCAGAGGCTGGGAGGAAGAAGAATGGGGAGTGACTATGGATGGAGGGTCTCCTTTCCGGGTGATAAAAATGTTCTGGAATTAGATCGTGGTGATGGTTGCACCACCTTCTGAATATTCTAAAACCATTGAATTGTATACTTTAAAATGGTAAATGTTATGTGTGAATTATATCTCAGTTAAATAACTTTTAAATGAATTTTCTTTTCTTTTTCTTTTTTTTTTGAGTTGGAGTCTCACTCCGTTGCCCAGACTGGAGTGCAGTGGCCGCTCCCGGCCACCGCAGCCTCGACCTGCTGGGCTCCGGCGATCCTTCCACCTCAGCCTTCTGAGTAGCTGGAACTACAGGCGCGCGCTACCACGCCCATCTGATTTTTTGATTTATTGTAGAGATGAGGTCTCACCAAGTTGCCCAGGCGGGTCTCGAACCCGCCGGCTCAGGCAATCCACTCACCTCAGCCTCCCAAAGCGCTGGGATTATAGGCTGAACCACCGAGCCTGGCTTAAATGAACTTTCAAAGCCATATTTTATAACTTAGAATGATGCATCTATTTTATGTTAATCTCTTTTTAATGTTTTTGAAAAGAGATGGGATGTACTGATTTAAATAAAATATAACTTTGTTATAATATATACATTTTATTCACATATAATAATTCTCTTTAGAATAAATGAGCTTTGGCCAGACTTGGTGGCTCAGCCTTTAGTCCCAGCACATTGGGAGGCCAAGGCAAATGGACTGCCTGAGCCCACGGGTTTGAGACCAGCCCAGGCAACTTGGCGAGACCTCATCTCTACAATAAAAATCAAAAATTAGCCAGGCATAGTAGTATGTGCCTGTAGTTCCAGCTACTTGGAAGGCTGAGGTGGAAGGATCACCAGAGCCCAGCAGGTCGACAATGGGGTAGCTGTGAGTGTGTCACTGCCCTCCAGCCTGGGCAACAGAGCGACTCCAACTCAAAAAAAAAATTAGTTTTTATGATATTCTGGTTATCTATTGCTTATAGCAAGCCACTCCAAAACAGTGGTTCAAGACAATAATTGATTATGATCTCTTAAGGTTCTGTGGGTTGATGGAGCTTGACTGGGCAGTTCTCACTTGGGGTCTCTCCTGCAGCGGTAGTTAGATAGGGCTGGAACCATGTCATGACATGAAGATGATGCATTCTCAAGGCTTAGGATTGATATGGGGAGTTCAGCTGGGCTATGAACCAGAATGCCCACACACATGTGGCCTCCCCGTGCAACTTGGCCTTCCTGTGGCATGGTGGCTGAGTTCCAAGGGCAAGTGTTGCAAGGGACAGGAAGCAGAGGCTGCCAGTCTCTTAAGGCTTGGGCCCAGAAACTGGCATAGGGTCACTTTGTCATAGCCCATTAATCTGAGCAGTCATAGAGCCCACCCAGATTCAAGGTGAGGGGACATAGATATAGACCACCCCCATGAAAGGGTGTCAGAGAATTTGTGGTTATTTATTTATTTATTTATTTTTGAGTTGGAATCTCACTATCACCCAGACTGGAGTGCAGTGGCCGCTTCCGGCCACCGCAGCCTTGACCTGCTGAGCTCTGGTGATCCTTCTGCCTCAGCCTTCCAAGTAGTTGGAACTACAGGTGCCCGGCTGATTTTTTTGCTTTATTGTAGAGATGAGGTCTCACCTGCCCAGGCGGGTCTCCAACCCGCGGGCTCAGGCCATCCACTCACCTCAGCCTCCCAAAGACGCGGGATTACAGGCTGAGCCACCAGCCCGGCAATTTGTGGTTATTTTTAACCTACCACTTATGGATTTTTTATTGGTATTAAAACTTAACATATGCCTCCGGAACTAATTTTATTCTTTATTTTCCTATATTCAGCAGATTTGACCAAGTCTGTGTACAGTGAGATGTCTGTTGGCTCAGATGAGTTTGATTTCTTTCATATTGAAGTAGACACTGAAATAACATTTTGCTTTAAAGAATTGAAGGTAAACAAACGTTTATGTCAAATTAAAATGCAGATTTTCACTGGTTGTTTTTAAATAAACCACTTCATGTTTTTTCTTCTTTTCAGGGAATGCTGATATTTTCAGAAGCCACACATGCTCCTGTATCCATTCATTTTGACTTTCCTGGAAAGTAGGTCCTTGGGAATTTTTCTGAGTTTCTTTTCCTTTTCTTTTTCTTTTTTTGAGTCAGAGTCTCACTCTATTGCTCAGGCTGGAGTGCAGTGGTATGCTCCCGGCCACTGCAGCCTTAACCTGCTGGGCTCCGGCGATCCTTCCACCTCAGTCTTCCAAGTAGCTGGAACTATAGGCGCGTACTACCATGCCCAGCTTATTTTTTGATTATTGCAGAGATGAGGTCTTACCAAGTTGCCCAGGCTAGTCTCAAACCCCTGAGCTCAGGCAGTCATCTCGCCTTGGCCTCCCAAAGTGCTGGGATTCAAGGCTTGAGCCATTTCGCCAGGCCTTCTTTCCTTTTCTTATATATGAACAATAAAACCCTTTGAATCACTTTGAAATTAATTAATACCTCAGGTATGCCTTAACTTTTCTAGCAACAATGATCAAACTAAAATTTTGATAGATGCCATAACATGATGCTTTTTTTTTTTTTTTTTTTTGAGTTGGAATCTCACTCTGTCACCCAGACTGAAGTGCAGTGGCCGCTCCCGGCCACCGCAGCCTCGACCTGCTGGGCTCCGGCGATCCTTCCGCCTCAGCCTTCCAAGTAGCTGGAACTACAGGTGTGCGCTACCATGCCCAGCTAATTTTTTGATTTATTGTGGAGATGAGGTCTCGCCAAGTTGCCTAGGCGGGTCTCGAACCCGCGGGCTCAGGGAATCCACTCACCTCAACATGATGCTTTTTAATGGGTAACTTGATTGAGAAAGATATGTTCTTCTGCAGAGTAAAACATTTATAAATTTGACAATGATACTGAATAAACTGCCTAATTAGAAAATTATGCATGACTTATACAAGTTAGATCGCTATAAAACTATGACACTTATATTTCAGAACTAAAATTTCAAATGAGATTGGGTTAAGTTGTGTTTTATGAAACTGAATCTGATTATTCCTGAGGGCCCTTTCCATTCTCATGACTATGTTAATTTGTGACAATACAAAAAGGACATCTACTTCTACTGTTTCTTTTTACTCCAGAATTAAGTATAATTTTCTAATGTGTTTCTAATGTTCATTAGAAAATGAGTGTTGTCTTTGCTCTGATTTTGCCTTTTTAGGCCTATGGCTTTAAGTATTGATGACATGTTATTGGAAGCTAACTTTATTTTGGCCACATTAGCTGATGAGCCAAGTAGGGCATCTTCGCCACAATCACTATGTCTTTCACAGAAACGAAAAAGGTAAGGCCGTGTTTTAACTTCTTTATTGGTTGGGAAAAGCCATCACAATCTTATTCTGAAATAATTCACTGGCATTCACTTAGGAAACAATTGAGGAGGGAAATATTAAAAGATCAGAAATTTTGAATGAATCTGGAAGAGCTGTGTGAAACCTAACTGTGGCTAGAAACCTCCCAATCTTCCTTGAGATACTTGCTTTGCTCTTCTGACTAGAAGTTAACAGGATTGTCTGGTTTATCTGTGTTGTTACCCAAAACTCATTTCCAATTTCTAGTTGTTTTTTACGGAGTGACATAAATTTCACAGGAAAGTCTATGTTCACTCCTTAGAACCCCTTCTCAGTTATCGGGACACCCATTGTTTTTCTTTTTTTTTGAGTCAGAGTTTCACTCTGTCACCCAGGCTGGAGTGCAGTAGCATGCTCACAGTCACTGAAGCTTCTACCTGCTGGGTTCAGGCGATCCTTTCACCTCAGCCTTCCAACTAACTGGAACCACAGGCTTGTACCACCAAACCTGGCTAATTTTTTTTTTTAATTGTAGAGACAAAGTCTCACCAAGTTGCCCAAACTGTTCTCAAACCCCTGGGTTCAGGCAATCCTCTCACCTCCACCTCCCAAAGTGCTGGGATTACAGGCATGAGCCACTGTGCCCAGCTGTTTTTCTTTTTCTTTTTTCTTAATAATCTTTTATGGAGGGGAGGGATGCTTCATTGTACAAGTAATACAAAGTTACTTTGGGAAATTTGGAAAGTAGAGAAAAATACAAAGAAAAAAGTAAAAAACTACCCACATATATATATTTTTTGCACCATCAAGAGGTAGAGACTGTTAACATTTTGGTTCACTGTATTTTCTCTCAAATTTTTTCTTTTGTTTAAACTTTTAGTTTATTTTTTTGAGTTGGGGGTCTCATTCTGTCACCCGGTTTGGAGTACAGTGATATAATCACAGCTCACCACAGCCTTGAACTCCTGGACTTAGGGATCATCCCTCTCCAGCCTCCTAGGTAGCTGGGACAATCCCACACCCAGATAACTTTTTTTATTTTTTGCAGAGACAAAATCTCACTATGTTGCCCAGGCTGGTCTCAGACTCCTGGGCTCAAACAATTCTCCTGGCTCAGCCTCCCAAACTGCTGGGATTACAGGTGTGAGTCGCCATGCCTGGCCCTACTTATACTTTAAAACTAGATTGGGATCATGTAGCATATGTGGTTTTGTATCCTGGTTTTTTCCCCATAAAATATATTGTTAGTATGTTTTTATATTACTGATTATGACTTGAAAACATGATTCTTTACAAAAAATTTTTTTTTGAGTTGGAGTCTCACTTTGTTGTCCAACCTAGAGTGCAGTGGCATGCTCACGGTTACTGCATCCTTGACCTGCTGGGCTCAGGAGATCCTTCTGCCTTAACCTTCCAAGTGGTTGAAACTACAGGCATGCACCAACATACCTGGCTAGTTTTTTGATTTATCGTAGAGACGAGGTCTCACTAAGTTGCCTGGGCTGGTCTCAATCTCTGGACTCAGGCAATTCTCTTGCCTCGGCCTCCCAAAGTGCTGGGATTACGGGCTTGAGCCACTACGCCTGGCCTTAAATTTATTTTTTATTTTTTGTAGAGATGGGGTCTTACTATGTTGTCTAGGCTGGTCTTGAACTCCTGGGCTCAAGCAATCCTGCCTCGGCTTCCCAAAGCACTGGGATTACAGGTGTGAGCCAGTACACCCGGCCAAAAACATGATTCTTTTTATTTATTTATTTATTTATTTATTTATTTATTTATTTATTTAGAGTCAGAGTCTCACTCTGTCGCCCAGGCTGGAGTGCAGTGGCACGCTCACTGCCACCCCAGTATTGACCCACTGGGCTCTGGCAATCATTCTGCCTCAGCCTTCCAAGTAGCCAGAACTATAGGCATGCGCCACCACGCCCAGCTAATTTTTTGATTTATTGTAAAGATGAGGGCTCGCCAAGTTGCCCAGGCTGGTCTTGAACCCACGGGCTCAGGCAATCCTCTCACCTCAGCCTCCCAAAGCGCCAAAATATGTATTTTATATAACTACTGGTCAATGTGGGATGACAATGCTAGCACTGGTTTAAGGAATATATTGAAATAACATGGAACTAAATTTAAGCCCACAAGACCAGCCTGGGTAACTTGGTGAGACCTCATCTCTACAATAAATTAAAAAATTAGCTGGGCGTGGTGGTGCATGCCTGTAGTTACAGCTACTTGGAAGGCTCAGGTGGAAGAATCACCTGTGCCCAGCAGTTTGAGGCTGCGGTGGCCGTGAGCATGCCACTGCACTCCAGCCTGGGCGACAGAGTAAGACTCCAACTCAAAAAGATAACATAAAATATATTTTAAAGTTAAAAAGTTCATTTAATTCCTGTTAATACCTCAGGTCAGATCTGATACAGTCAAATTCAAAGGCTGGTGAAAGTGTAAGCAACGAGAGCCTGGAGTGTATTTTAAGAAAAGCAGCACCTAGAAGTCTTTATCCTAATGAGATGCACACAAGCATCTCTTCATTGGAAAACTATAGCAGCCCTGTAATGAAAAGAGCAAATGGGGACATCAGTAAAGTGCCAGAAAACAGTGTCAGCAACACCGAGGAAGTGCCAGCATCTACACCTCTCAGAAAGGTAAAAGAAAAGTGTTGAGACGTGACTGCATCTCAGTTAAGATCTTCATTTTCCTTTGTGTTTCCCTTCCCAGTCCCACCCTGTATCCTGGAAATTAGTTTTCTTTTTTTTTTTGAGTTGGAGACTCACTCTGTCACCCAGGCTGGAATATAGTGGTATGCTCATGGCCACTGCAGCCTCAGCCTTGACCTGCTGGGCTCAGGTGATCCTTCCACCTCAGCCTTCCGAGTAGCTGGAACTACAGGCATGTGCCATCATGCCCGGCTAATTTTTTTGATTTATTGTAGAGATAAGGTCTCGCCAAGTTGCCCAGGCTGGTCTCAAACCCGACTGAGGCTCAGACAATGCTCTCATCTTGGTCTTCCAAAGTGCTGGGATTATAGACGTGAGCCACTGTGTCCGGCAAGGAATTAATTTTCTTCTGTTGCAGACAGGGAAAAGTTTGATTTGTAGGCTGTCAATGAAAATAATTAAATTGTTCAGTCAGAAATTTCTAACAAAGCGTATTCAAGTAGAGATTTGGGTTACCTGTTTTCAGGAATAAATTATGATTGTTTATAGTATATCTTTAAATATAAATAATATGCTAAAGTCATATAAATAATTTGTTTTCTAAAATAAGTTTCCTGGCCGGGCTTGGTGGCTCAACCTGAAATCCCAGCACTTTGGCTGAGGTGAGTGGATTACCTGAGCCTGCGGGTTTGCGACCCGCCTGGGCAACTTCGCAAGACCTCATCTCTACAATAAATAAAAAAATAGCCGAGCATGGTAGCACGTGCCTATAGTTCCAGCTACTTGGAAGGCTGAGGCGGAAGGATCGCTGGAGTCCAGTGGGTCGAGGCTGCGGTGGCTGGGAGCGGCCACTGAACTCCAGTCTGGGTGACAGAGTAAGACTCCAACTCAAAATAAAATAAAGTAAGTTTCCTTCTAATTTTATTTTTCAAATTTGGTTGGAAAACCTTTTATTCATAGTAGTACTGATGTAAATTTTGCCCCAACAGATATCACAAATCCCTTCATAGTGGAGTCTCAGTTAATAACATCTTTATTATATTACCAACATTCTACTAGATGAACGATAAGCTTCACAGAATACTACAGTGTTAAACCTTATGAAATCTATTGAATTGAAAGTAAAACAATATATGAAGTATTCAAATATCAATTATCAGCCGGGCTCAGTGGCTCAGCCTGTAATCCCAGCACTTTGGGAGGCCAAGGCGAATGGATTGCCTGAACCCACAGGTTCGAGACCCAACAGGGCAACTTGGCGAGACCTTGTCTCTACAATAAGTCAAAAATTAGCTGGGTGTGGTAGCACATGGCTGTAGTTCTGGCTACTTGGGAGGTTGAGGTGGAAGGATCACCTGAGCCCAGCAGGTTGAGGCTGCGGTGGCTGGGAGTGTATCACTACACTCCAGCCTGGGTGACAGAGACAGACTCCAACTCAAAAACAAAAAAGACCCCAAAAACCCAAATATCGATTATCCCAGTTTTGTATTTTTTTTTTATTTAGTTGGAATCTCACTCTGTTGCCCAGGCTGGAGTGCAGTGGCATGCTCACAGCTACCACAGCCTCGACCTGCTGGACTCAGGCAATCCTTCCGCCTCAGCCTTCTAAGTAACTGAAACTACTGGTATATGCGACCATGCCCGGCTTATTTTTTGATATATTGCAGAGATGAGGTCTCACCATGTTGCCCAGGCTGGTCTTGAACCTGCGGGTTCAGGCAATCCTCTCGCCTCGGCCTCCCAAAGTGCTGGGATGACAGTCTTGAGCTACCACACCTGGTCCAGTTTTGTATAATGTCTTATTCAAACTTGTTTTGCTGTAGCTATTATTATTGGTTTGGAAATTGAGTTTCTTAGTTAGAATTAGAAACTTGAAGAGAGAAATATTTTGTAAATTTACTGTCTATGCTGTATATGACTTTTAGGACAGAATTTGAATAGTAAACTTGACTTCATCCATTTGATGTCATAAGTGTTTGTTGAGTACCTATTATACGCCTAGCACTTAGAGCAATGTTCTCTTCTTGTATATTGTTACTAGGCTGGCCATAGAGTGAAAACTTGAAATCTGTCTTCTCATTATACAAGAGCATTCCCCCCTCCTACTCTTTTGGTCTTATATGTTGTGTTTAGTTTTTCAGAGGCAACAACAGGAAATAATTTGCCTGTTGCTTTAGGCCCCTGACATTCACCTTTCAAACTTTAAGCCTCACAAGCACTATTACAGAACTCTTTACTCCAAATTTCCTATCATGTTGCTAAATTCTAAAAAGAAGACTTTAGGCGGGCATGGTGGCTCATGCCTATTATCCCAGCACTTTGGGAGACAAAAGCGAGAGGATTGCCTGAATCCAGGGATTCAAGACCAGCCTGGGCAACTTGGCAAGACCTTGTCTCTACAGTAAATTTAAAAAACTGGCCGGGTGTGGTGGTGTGTACCTGTGGTTCCAGCTACTTGGATGATGAGGTGGAAGGATCACCTGAGCCCACCAGGTCAAGGCTGCGGTGGCCATGAGCATGCCACTGCACTCCATCCTGGGCGACAGAGTGAGACTGACTCCAAAAAAAAAAAAGGCTTCATTTTTAAAGGGAATTATTTGCTTTAATGTGGGAAACTCCTGCAAAGCTGAAATGACAGTATGGGTAAATGTAGACCCTTACTGTGTTCCACCTGAATGACTAAGGCCTTCTGGCCAGCCTCCCTGACTTCGTTCTCTTCCACCCCGGTTCTCCTCCATGGTGTACTAGTAGGTTTTTATCTAAACCGTACTTATTTATTTGGTATTTATTTATTTATTTTTGAGTTGGAGTCTCACTCTGTTGCCCAGGCTGGAGGGCAGTGGCACACTCATGGCCACCCCAGAGCCGACCTTCTGGGCTCCAGCGGTCCTTCCACCTCAGCCTTCCAAGTAGCCAGAACTATAGGCACACACTACCGCACCTGGCTAATTTTTGATTTATTGTAGAGACAAGGTCTCGCCAAGTTGTCTGGGCTGGTCTCAAACCCGTGGGCTCAGGCAAGCCACTCGCCTCGGCCTCCCAAAGTGCTGGGATTACCACCTGAGCCACTGGGCCCAGCCTATTTTTATTTTTATTGTTTTTTTTAGTCCGGTTCTCACTCTGTCACTCATACTGGAGTGCAGTGACATGATTATGGCTCACCTCAGCCTCAATCTGCTGGGCTCAGGCAGTCCTTCCACCTCAGCCTTCCAAGTAGCTGAGACTACATGTACATGCCACTACACCCAGCTAATTATTATTATTATTTTTTTTTTTGTAGAGATGAGGTCTCATTATGTTGTCCAGCCTGGGTGACCGTGCCCAGTCTTGTCTAAACCTTAGACCTGTAATGAGGCCCAGGGGTTCAGAACACTGACTCTAGTATGCAAATTCCTGGTTTCAAATCTCTCTTTTGCCACTTATTAGCTTCATGACTTGGGCAAGTTACTTATCTTTCACTCAGTGTACTTATCAGTAAAATAGGGATAATAATAATTAAGCCCATTAAGTGGAATTGTGAAATTAATTGAGCTAATAGTTGTAACTGACACATGGTTAGTGTTTGATAAATGTTATTTATTATTATTGTATATCACTTTTCTGCTTTAAAAACTTCTCCAATCCTATTGCTTCTCCAATAGGATTAAGCCTAAAGTTTTTGGAATGGCGTTCAGGAACTTTCCCTGGCAGTTAGTATAACATGGCTTCATCCTTTCTTGCCCCTGCCCCCACACAAAACACCCTGTGCCAGGAATGGCAGATAGGTTTCCTCTCTGGTAAGCCACCAGTCAGTCGGGTGGGTACCCAAGTTTAGAATGACTCCAAAGCTCTGTCTCCCCCTGATTAGCCAGGTCGCCATGCGCACTGGAGGTCACTCATCTGTGAACCAGACCAATGTGATAAGCCATCATGATACTAGCAATGTTCATGATATGACCCGCCTATTTGTTTGCTCATCTGCTTGTTAACTTCTCATTTTAAAATAATTTCGGGATTTTTAAAAAGTTGCAAAAATAGCATAAAAGTTTTCTATATGCCCTTCTTCCAGACTCTTCAAATGCTAACATTTTATATAACAGTGCAATTATCATTTAATTGAAGAAGAATTAGAAGATGCAAATAAGAGATAATAAAAAACAAGTCATTTCATATATTTTGATTATTGCTCTACCTTTGAAGACTCTTTTCTATGCATATACACATATCAAATTTTAATTTTAAAAATTTTCCATATTCAGACTCACTTGCAAAAACAGTACAAAGAATTCCCATATTCCCTTTAGCCAACCAGAGTCCTCAAATGTTAACATCTTAGAGCAGCAGAATCTCCTTTAATTGGGAACATTTTCTAAGTCTTGTTAAGTCCACTTTAAGAAGGAATTTTCGCTTCTTGCCAGGTGAAGTGGCTCATGCCTGTATTCACAGTATTAGGAGTCTGAAGTGGGAGGATAGCTTGAGACCAGCAGTTCAAGATCAGTCTAGGCAACATAGTGAGATTTTTGTCTCTACAGAAAATTTAAAAATTAGCCTGGCTCACGCCTGTAATCCCAAATCTTTGGGAGGCTGAGGCGAGAGGACTGCCTGAGCTCAGGGATACGAGACCAGCCTGGTCAACTTGTGAGACCTCATCTCTAAAATAAATTTTTATTAGCTGGGCGTGGTAGCGCGAGCCTATAGTTCCAGCTACTTGGAAGGCTGAGGCGGAAGGATCGCCGGAGCCCAGCAGGTCGAGGCTGCGGTGGCCGGGAGCAGCCATTGCACTCCAGTCTGCGCAACAGAGTGAGACTCCAACTCAAAAAAAAAAACAAAAAACTTTTTTTAAAATTAGTCCAGTGTGGTGGACGCCTGTAGTTCCAGCTACTTGGAAGGTTGAGGCAGAAGGATTGCCTGAGTCCTGCTGGTCAAGGCTGCAGTGGTGGTGAGCATGCCACTGTACTCCTGCCTATGCAACAGAGTGAGACTCCAACTCAAAAAAAAAAAAGTTAGCTAGGGGCAAGTG